AAAAAAGAATTTCCTTGGCTCTGGCTCTGGCACCATATGTGCAGCCTGACGGTCACCCAGCCCATCAACCCCAGCTCACCACCTTCTGCAGGCTGGTCCACAGTTTCCACTGTCACACAGTCTGTGATGGCTTCTGGGTGTGGTGACATCCCGAGTCTGGCTCTCTCTGGACAAGGTGATTCAGAACTGCTTCTGGGGGAGCAAATCAGAACCTGCTCCCTTCTGGGTTCTCCTGCATCTGTTCTGAAGCTCTGGTAAGGGTGGTCCCTGTCAGGTGGGCAGTTCTTCCAGGTGAGAATCCTGTCTGTAGGGTTCTCTCCTTCTTGCCACTTTGTTCCAGAGATGCTGAGAATTAGGCCTAGGAAACAAATTAATTTCAGTTGAAACTTTCATCGAGAGCAGTGCTTCTCAATTTCAACACTACTGACATTCTGGGCTGGGCAATTCTTTATCGTGGGGTGGGGGTGGGGGGCGCTGTGCATTGTAGGATATCTAGCAGCATTTCTGGCCCCTACCTACCAGGTGTTTGTAGCAATCCTCCTTCCAGTTGTGACAACCAAAAATATCTCTAGACATTTCTGAAAGTCCTCTAGGGAGCAAAATCACCCTAGTTAAGAGTCACTGATGTAGGGCCTTAAACCTGATTCTCTTGAAATTTATTAGAACTGTTCTATCCATTATTGTAGCCACTAGCCAAATACCACTATTGAGCACTTGAAATGTAGCTAGTGCCACATGTTGAAATAACATTTTGGATGTATTAAGATAAACATAATGCAGTAAGTCCTCACTTAATGTCATCCATAGGTTCTTGGAAACTTCAGCTTTAAGTGAAGTGACATATAACAAAACCAATTTTATCACAGGCCAATTGATATACACAAGAGTTAAGTTCCTACAGCCTATTTCTGATCATAAAAACATCAGCAAACTTCAACATAAGCACCCAAAACAATACTAAACACTGAAATAAATGTGACCTATAGATATATTTAAGAAAGATTAATAAAAACAAGATAATGATTTTCTAACCCGATTATTCCAGTTTAGGGTATTAGCTGTCCAGAGCCTACACTGGCAGCTCAGGGTGCAAGGCAGGCCCCACCATGGACAGGACACCCTTCCATTGCAGGTCACTCTCAGACACCCACACCCACTCAGACTGGGACAATACAGATATGTCAATTAACCTAATGTGCACATCTTTGGGATGTAGGGGGAAAGCAGAGTCCCCAGAGAAAACCCACACAGAGATGGGGAGAAAATGCAAACTCCACACAGTAGCCCTGCAAGGAACCAGTATTTTGGTCTTCATCAACATTACAAAGAAACACTGTTGAATGTTCTTAAAATTAATTTCACGTTTCTTTTTAGTTTTAATGTGGACACTAGAACATTTAAAATTACACGTGTGGCTCACCTTCTCTTTCTTTTGGACAGCACTACACTAGAATATCACACTGAACCTCCTGAAGACACGGAGCCTGGGCAGTGCAGGTGGAGCCTCAGTCTTACCCAGAGGCTTTGGAGACATGCCAGAAATCCCAAAAGAAATACACTTGTCACAGGGTGAGATTCCGTGCACACTAACTTTACAATCACAGTCCTGGGGATTTGGGCACAAGTCACTCTGCTACTGCTGTGAAAGCGGCAACACTGGGTTTTTAGGTAGGTCGGATTTAGGAATAGTCTGAATCTGGGAGTAAAGCGTGTCTGTATTTGCATCCTAGCTTCATCACCTTTGTGACCTTGGGTCTGTCATTTCACTCCTCTGAGCCCATTTTCATCTTTTTATATGATTATACCTATAAGTAGGGTGATTGTGAGGATTAAATGAAATGAACAAAGGTGTCCTCCAAATATCATGGGAACCAACATTCCATGGTGGCTTATTAACTAGTACTTACTAGTGCTCATTAACTAGCACTAGGTTCAATAAATGCTTTACAGGTTATGACTTCTCTCTCTGAACAACGTCACCAAGCAGTTTTGTCTAATATCCTTATTTTCAAATGAGAAACCTGACACATGACCAAGTGACCGAGGTGGAATTTTCCCGGTCCTTCTGCGTCCTAAGTTCGGCTTCTCACCGCAAGACCAAAGGTTCGAACCTTTGTGTCAGGTTCGTGGTCAGTCTTATAAACGCATTTTCCCCTCCCACCGCCAGCAAGGGTTCCGCTGCCCCGCAGCCGGCTGCAGTCATCAACTTCACCCGCCCTCACGGAGCGTCTCACCGGGACTCAGCCCCACTCGCGCCCCTGGAGCCCACGGGCTATGGCCCGCCCCCACCCGCCTTTCCCAGGTCTACGTCCAAGCTTGGCTCTCGGATAGGCGGTGGGGGTCCCGCTTTCGGAATGCGATTCCGGGATTTCCTGTTCCCTTCACTGGACACAAGCCCAGACCTCCATGTTGGCCCACAGCCGCGCGGAGTCCGGGACCGGCAACGAGCTCACCTGACCTGCGAAACCTCGGCACGGGAACGTGTGGAAAGGGCCGGAGCAGGAAAGCGGGACTCGCTGTACACGCACAAAGAAAAGCCCAGGATGTCCATTCCCAGAATGCTGCGCGATAACCCATACCATTCAAGACTACAGTTCCCATAAAACACCGCGACCGCTTGCAAATTTGTGTTTTGGCGGGTAGTGGGCGCTGGGGGAAATTTAGGGAGTGAGTTAATAAGATGTTATTAACAGTCTGTACTATTATATTAACTGAAGCACAGGTTCTACCACAACCCCCGAGGTTATGGGTTAAACTTTGATATACCAGTAAATACAATGTGTGGTCCTCGATGGGATCCTACTTGGAGAAAAGAAGACATTTGAGGACAATTTGGGAAATTTGTATACNAAAAGAATACAACTATTTATTTATTCTACTGCTGATGAGCCCAATTTGGGGCAAAAATAATATTGCCAAATTATTACTTTTAGAGAACACAATCATGCCTTTCTGTAGGGAATAGAGTTAAGAAAAGGACTGCTTGGTTACAAGGTATGTAAAACTTCAACTTGATTTGATAACATTCTCCTGATTCCACAGTGGTTTTACCAGTTTACATTTTCAGTCAGTGAATGAGGGTCTTTAGTATTTCACATCCTCAGCAGGACTTGGCATTGCTACATTTGTAATCTCACCACATATCATACATTATCTCTTTATCTCAATTTGTATGTTTTTATCACCCTGTAGAAACTAATGAGATTGAACACATTTTCAAAGATTTAATGGCCATTTGAAAGTTCCTGTTCAAAGTCTTTCACCTCTTTTTCAACTGGGTTGCTACCTTTTCCCACACTGACTTGCCAAAGTTCTTCCATTTTCAGGAAGCTTATCCTTCCTAGGTTACTTGTACTGTAATATATTCTGCTCCTCTGTGGCTTGTCTTTTCATCCTTTTAATGGTAGCTTTTCTGAACAAAGTTTCAATTTTAATTTAGTCAAGTTTATTAATCATTTTCTTTTGATTGGTGCTTTTTTTGTGCCTTTGGGCCTTTTAAGAAGTCTTGAAATACAGAAATGTTCACCTCAAACCTGCCCTTCTGGAGTCTAACTACCCCCACAGAATTCTGTCTGCTAGTGCTCAGTAACTCACCTTGGTGGCTCTGGTTTGAGAATTCCTCCTCTAAGAACCAAGGATCTTCTTGCTCCAACTTCAAGATCACCTCTGGTTTGTAAATACAGTTCCCTGTAAGTACAGAACAATGGAGTACTTAGGCCAGATGATAAGCTTTCTGGTCTCCAAAAATGGAAAAAGACACAGCTTCAGGAACAGCAACCTGAAGGTCCTCATTTGAATTTATCACTGGGAGTTGAGAACACAAACATTCTTTCTATTCCTTAACAGGGCTTAGTTCCTTTATACTCTTGAGTTAAAAAACTAAGTAATATTAAAATCTAAAGTATTCGTGTGTAGTAGGATGTAAAAAGGAAATGCCTTCTTATTTACAAAGGTAAATGTTTATATGCTCACCCACGGAGACGAGGTGACTGTAGTTCTCCAGCATCACATCTCTGTAGAGGGCCCTCTGAGCAGGGCCCAGGTACGGCCACTCCTCCTGGGTGAACTCCACAGTCACGTCCTTGAAGGACACTGAGGCCTGTAACAGTACATTTCTGTTCAATTTGAAGGGTTTAGAGTTAGGTAACGCAGAAAATACCTAAGAAAACAATTCTTATGTTTACTGTAAAGAGCTTAAAACAACAAATGAAAATAAGTATGCCTATTTTGGATCTAATTTTATCATATACTTTGGAGGTACTCAATTAGTAAAAATGTCTGTAACTTAATTTGTATATATTTATGAGTTATATACATGTACTATCAGTAAGCACATTAGTAAAGCTTTTGTTGCTTAATGTTTGTTTGTTTTTTTAGTACATAAATAAATAAATTTCCAGGCTGGCCGAGTAGCTCAGTTGGTTAAGAGTGTGAGCTCTGAGCAACAGCATCATGGGTTCAATTCCCACATGGGCCAGTTAGCTGCGCCCCAGCTGAGCTGCTGCTGAGCTGGTGAGAGCACATTCTCTTAGCACGGAGAATGCTGGTTCGACACCAGTATGAGATGGTGGGCTGCGCCTACCTGCAACTAAGATTGAACACGGCACCTTGAGTTGAGCAGGCACAAGCTGCCGACAGGCGGCTGGCTGGCTCAGTGTGCAACAAGGTTGCCGGTTCGACTCCCGCATGGGATGGTGGACTACACCCGCCCACCCCTCCCCCCAACTAGAGTGAAAGCAGCGACTAGACTTAGAGCTGAGCTTGCACCCTCCACAACTAAGATTGAAGGACAACAACTTGACTTGGAGCTGATGGGTCCTGGAAAAACACAATGTTCTCCTCCCCAATTCCCTAATAAAAATCTTAAAAATAAAAATACATACATACATACATACATACATACATTTCCTACAATTTTTATCCCACACCCAAATACACTACCCTAGACATACTCTAGGCTAGGGGTCAGCAAATTATGACATGTGGCCAAATCNTAGCATATGACATTAACTTCTATACTTCCAGATGTAGAAGTAACCACAATACACCGCACTGGTACAAAGAACCCCCTTTATTCGTAAGGTCACATCCATTTCCCTTCTCTATTGTAAACCCTGCCCTAACGACATTATCTAAATCTAGTGCCCCTACCTCCATGGAAACTTGTAAGATGTTGACTTGAGTATCTGTAGCCCATAGAATCATAAAAGCTTTGAGTCCTTCCCCTCCCTTGAAGTCCCCCAGAATACTTGGGTGTGTGGTAAAGGCTTTGGGTACCCTCTAGAGACAGGAAAACCTCTTTCCCCTTAAAGCAGTTGAGGTTGGGGTATATGGAGGTGACATGAGGTGTGGAGGGAGAGTGGCTTCATGACATTAAGCCACATTTATTTTAGTTGCATAATATTGGGTTGTCGGAAAAGTCATGATGTGTTGGGAGCCGGCTGCGCCTCGGTGTTTTACAAGGTCGCATCGAGGTGAAGATCCACGCAAGGTGTTGGGTGTTTAGGGCATTGCCCTATGGTGGTCTTGCAATATCTCCTGCCACAACCAAAACTAAAAAATGTCAATATTTGGAACTTAACCAAAAAACATAGGACCTTATCTACTTCCCATGCATATATCTAGCCATACAATAAAACATGTATATCAATTACTAAATTTACATTACAAAAATCATGGGCTTACTGCTTGTTATCTGACAGAAGGTTTAAATTTGTTCTCTGCTAAGCATAAGTTCCTTGTGGTTATGAAACAAAACTGCCACATCGACAACTGTATCCTGCCGACCTTTACATGTTGTGCCTTACAGCCTGTAATTTCAGCCATAACAGGGTATCTCTAAATAAAAAGCTTACTGTTAAGAAATTATCTGCAAACAAAACGGTTCCAAGAAAAACTGCCAGCTTGCAAAAGTGTAACCGCCGTTTCTTAGGAAACAACCTCAGCCAAATGCAAAATCAATATATATATGAGCAATATGTACAAAAATAAAGGCTTCCTCTTTCATACTCCACACATTCCATTTCTGTCTCTCTCTCGCTGACTCCGTCCACACGAGGGTATCCCTGGACACGTGGGAGCAGGTCTCCCACAATGATGTATTTTTTCTATGTTTTTCGTTGTAAAAATGCATCATGACTTTTCCGACAACCCAAGAGCTGTTCACCATTCATCCAAAAATACCCCCCAAAACCTTCTAACTTTTTAGGTTCACCCAAAGCCCTGTATCAGGTGGTACCATCTGCTTCATTATATTGAAAGGATATCTATTGTATGAAATTCTCTGATAAGCTTTGCACCCTGTGGCTGATATAAGCTTGGCTTATCCAGTAGTATTCTGCCTCCCTCGCTGAGTGGCAGCTTTTATGTACAGAAATAGACCCAAACATATAAGAGCTCAACAAAATACAAGCTTAATTTTTGCTCACAAAATGTTCAAATAAAAAAGATGTGGAAGAGAATTTTGATCCACATATTTCAGGTACCCTGGCTTTTATCTTGTGCTATGCCATGTTAAAGCATGGTACCCAAGGTTGTCCTGGAAGTCATCTCCATTTTACCCTGACAGCAGCTGGTAGTTTGTCAGTTAAGTCTTTTCTTAAAACTGGATGTGGCATACAACATAATCATCCACATTCCAGTAGCCAGTCCAAAGTCCCACTTAGGTGAAAGGGAGACTGGGAAATTTAGGTTAGCTATGTGTCTAGAGGAAAAATGAAATTCTTCCTAGCTAACGGACTACCAGCCTGTGTGATGTGTGAGTTATCTAACAGGCATGATGTCATTCAAAAGGGCTTTCCATAGTACCTTGAAAGAAACAAACACCTGTGTCCATTCTCTCATCCACTCTCAGGGTTGCCTTTTGGACAAAATTCTTCATATATTCATATTTGTATGGTTTCTCAACTGTGTGAATTTTCTGATGTCAATTGGGTTGGTCTTTTAGCCAGAAGGGTTTTCGTTAGTTATTAACAGGGTTTTCTCCTTCCCTGAATTCTCTGGCATATATTTAGGGTTGACTTCTTATACAATTTTCCATATTCATTACATTCATTAGATTTCTCCCCACTGTGAGTCCTCAGATGTATTCTGAGGTTTGATTTCTGGCCAAAAGTTTTCCCACATTTATTACACTGAAAGGGTTTTTCCCCTGTATGAATTCTGTGATGATCACTAAGGATTGCCTTCCGGACAAATTTTTTCCCACATTCATTACATTTAAATGGTTTCTCCCCAGTGTGAATTCTCTGATGCACTCTGAGGGTTGATGTGCGGGCGAAAGTTTTGTCACATTCATTACATTTAAATGGTTTCTCTCCTGTGTGCGTTTTCTGATGTTGAATGAGATGGTCTTTTCTCCAGAAGGATTTTTCACATTCATTACACTGGTAAGTTTTCTCACCACTGTGAGTTCTCTGATGTATTCTGAGGTTTGACTTCTGGCCAAAAGTTTTCCCACATTCAATACATTGAAAGGATTTCTCCCCTGTGTGAATTCTATGATGATCTCTGAGAGTTGACTTTTGAACAAAAGTTTTCCCACATTCACTACATTTATAGGGCTTCTCTCCTGTATGAATTCTCTGATGTCCCCGGAGGGTTGATTTCTGGACAAATGTTTTCCCACATTCATTACACTTATAGGGTTTCTCTGCTGTGTGAATTCTCTGATGTGTATTGAGGTGTGACTTCTGGGAGAAAGTTTTTCCACATTCATTACATTCAAATGGTTTTTCTCCTGTGTGGGTTCTCTGATGTTGAATGAGATGTCCTTTTTGACAGAAGGATTTCCCACATTCATTACATTTATAGGGTTTTACCGCAGAGTGAGTTCTCTGGCGTACTTTGCTGGCTGATGTTTGGTAGGATTTCCTATTTTCATGGTATTCAAAGGCTTTATCCCCAGTTTGTGTTCTGTCATTACATAACAATGGATTCTCTTCTGTGACAATTCTCTGTGGTTGAGTGAGATGTGAATTCCTGTTGAAATTATTCCCACTTGCATTAAATTCATAGTGTTTCACAGCCATGTTAAATTTATTATATTCCTTGACAGCTGACTTCTCACAGGATTTCCCACACTGATTAAAATGAGAGTGTTTCTCCCCTGTCCCAGTCCTTTTGTGGTCAAAGAAATTTGTCATATCACAGTTTTTTTTAAATTCATCATCTTTACAGGATTTTTCTCCTGTGTGAGTACTCTTATGTGTAACACAAGCAGCCTCATCATAGGCTTTTCCAATTATGTTATATTCAAAAGCTTGTTCCAAACTTTGACACTTTTGATGCTCAGGAAGATTTTCCTTATAACTGAGGGCTTTCCAATTTTTATTATATTCATAACATTTCTCTCCAGTATGAGTTCTCTCAAAGTTAATTTTGAAAGGCAAATTTTCACAGACATTACAGCAACCTGTTTTTTTTCTTGAATAGGTTCTATTATTAATGATGAACTGAGAAATATTTTGCAAATTCACTCCCCATGAGTCATATTTATAGGACATTTTTGTTGAACAAACAGGAGCTATGTGCAGATTAAATGCTTTCCCTAAAACTTCCTCTTCCTTTCCAGTCAAAGATTTATTATTGATGAATGTAACTTGCCATGAGTGTTTGTCTTTGATTTTCTTGTTCCTCTTCATCAGGCCATCATCTCTATAATGTTCTAAAACTGGGAAAAATTGTGAACATCTTATGAATCTTACATTTCTTATGAGTCAGACTTTTAAATAAATTTTTTATGTATTCTGGATGCCCATCCTTTATGGGTTATATGATTTGTAAATATCATCAATTTTGGCTCATCTCTTACTTCTGTTAAGCATGAAACAAATTATATCTCCATAAAACTTATGTGTAATGTAACAGTATAGAGTGAACACTCATGGAATTAGAAACCAGGTCAAGAAATAGAACATATATGACTGCAAATATCCCTATTTGACCCTGCCTGGTTACAAGTTCTTCATGCTTACGAGTTCACCACTCTCCTAATATTTATGTAATNTAAAACTTTATTTTGTTGACACTTTAAAAACTTTAATAAATACCAGTTTCCGAGAAGCAAAGAATAAAATTAAAGTTCCAATCAGAATTCTAAAAAAGTTTTCCCTGTGTTTTTTCTCTTCGACATTTATATATTTTGTTTGTTAAAACTAAAGGAACAATTCCAACTTTCATTCCAATAAAAACTTTTAGTAATAATTAGAAAAGAATTGAAAATGCACAGCGATGTGTCTATATTAATATGTATGCTATTGTTAAAATAGTTAAAAACTGATCCTGGTGCAATAAAAATTAAGTCCAGGGAAAAAAAGAAAGTGAGAACGTAGTGTGTATCAGAGCTGACATTTAAAGCAGTTGGAAAGAGAACATTCAATAACCTCATTAGAACAACAAGATAGGTGCTGGGACAAGGGCCATATCCATGGCATTCATATTACAATAAATAACTTTGATAAGCTATAAGCAATTAAAAGACAATTTCTAAGTTTTCAAATTTCAATTTCTTAAGTTCTTAAAAAAGACAAATGTTTCTAAGAATATAAGGCCTAGGAAACCCTCGCCCTTCACTCCTCTCCCATGCCTGGGACCCTGCCCTACACCTGAAGAGCCTGGCTGGGTGTGCTGAGAGGGGCTTCAGACCCTCACGGCACCCCACCTTTTCCGAGTCCAGTGCTGCCAGTATATATGTGGTACCACTGCAGTAACTAACAAGTAACTAACAAGCTTCCAGAGAGGTACTTTAAGGCTATAAAATCCCCTGTTTTTCCTTAAACTATCACTCACCAATTTAGTATTCATTGGTGGACCTGCATAGTTATTACTCTGGTGTTCTGATGGAGATATTCAATCCTCCTCCTTTGTCTGAGTATAAAGCAGCCTCTGACATCTGGGAAATGGCCTCACACTTAGAGCCTGGCTGCTGATGAAAGCTGTCCTGTGCTCATAGCTAAACAGTGGTGTTTTCCTTTTGGATGTAAACAATCTCATTGAATACCAATCAGACAAGGCCATTCTGTGACCATGGCGATGTAAGACAAACAAGACCACTTTACAATTTTGTATAAGTAAAGACAAAAGCAAGGTTGCTCTGCCACTCTCTAAATACCAAATAACCCTCTCTCCGCTGATATGAGTGACTGCTCATTTTATTTTATTTTATTTTTCATTTTTTAAGATTTTTTATTGGGGAATTGGGAGAGGGGAACAGCGTTGGGGAATCAAGGAAGGGGAACAGACAAGTTGCTGTCCTTTTGTTCAGTCTAGTTGTGGAGGACATCGCTTCACTGGCCCATGTTGGTATCATCATTGTGCTCTTCCTGGGTGAGGCAGTTGCTCGCTGGCCATTGGACCGCTCACAGAGGCTCACCGCAGCTGCCAGCCAGCCCCACTGAAGTCTAGGCAGCACCAGTGACTCATGGCAGCCCAGCTCCAGGTCGAGCTGTTGTTCACCATCTTAGCTGTAGAGGGCGCAGCGTCACTGGCCCTCATGTGTGGGATCCGAACCGGGTCCCTGCTACTCAGAGCTGGCTTCCCAAGCCAACTCCTAACCAACATGCCACTCGGCTGACCCTGCATTTTATTTTTTACTTCTGTATTTTTTGCAACTCCCATTCCTGACCAAATTCAGTTGCCCTGGAACCTCTGCAAAATGAACGAACCAAAGCTCAAATCCTGTAACTCCTAACACCCTCTTACTAAAACACTTTATGGTTCCTGTATGAGTGTGCACGCTACCTCATTGTAACTTATTAAAATCCAAATTGTTCAACTACAGGTGTGTTGCTGGTGGTATTTGGCTGAAGTACACTGACTTCTAGTTATTAATTGGAGTTCTGTAAGGAACATTTGTCCCATCTTCCCTTTTATTTATTGAATCATTTGTTTTTATCTATACAGATACACAGAGATGTATTTCATTCTTTGGGCTATAATCCATTACTGTATTTATTACTATGCTAAATATGTTCCAGCTTTGGTCTTGAGGAGCTCTTTCGTGATGGTTCTCTATCCTTATTTTTCTTTCAGTAGACTTTATTTTTAGAGCAGTTTTATATTCACAGCAAAATTGAGCAAAAAGTGCAGTATTCCTATATATTTTCTGTGCCCTCACTCATGCAGCCTTCCCCTGAACATGCTGCACCAGAGTGGTATATTTGTTACATTCAGTGAACCTACATTGATATATCATCATCACCCCAAATCTACAGTTCACATTGAGTCACTCTTGGTGTTATACATTCTATGGGTTTTGACAAATGTATGCACCATTACAGTATCATACAAAATAGTTTCACTACCCTAAAAATTTTCTATGCTCTTCCTGTTCATTCCTCCCTCCCCTCTAACCCCCGGTAACCACTGATATTTTACTGTTTCCATAGTTTTGCCTCTCTCACAATGTCATTGTAGTTCAAATCATACAATATATAGCCTTTTCAGATTGGCTTCTTTGACTTAGTAATACACATTTAAGGGTCCTTCTTGGCTTGATAGCTCATTTCTTTTTGCTGCTGAATAGTATTCTATTGTGTGGATGTGCCCCAGTTTATTTACCATCCACCTACTAAAGGACCTCTTGGTTATTTCCAAGTTTTGGAAATTATGAATAAGGCTGCTATAAACATCCATGTGCAGGCTTTTGTGTGGGCATGAGTGTTTGACTAATTTTGGAAAATTCCAAGGAGCATGATTGCTCGATCTTATGGTAGGAATATGTATAATTCTGTAACAAATTGCCAAACTGTCGCCCAGAGTGGCTGAACCGTTTTGCTTATCAGCAATGAATGAGAGTTCCCATTTCTCCACATTCTTGTCACCATTTGGTGTTCTCAGTGTTTTAGATTATGGCCTTCCTAATAGGTGTGTTGCGGTAGCTCATTGTTATGTTATACGCAATTCCCTACTGACATACACACATATAATGCGGAGCATCTTTTCCTATGATCTGTGTATCTTCTTTGGTGAGGTGTCTACTCAGATCTTTTGCCAATTGTTTAATCGGGTTATTTGTTTTCTTTTTGTTGAGTTTTAAGAGTTCTTTTAATAACTTTGAACGGTCCTTTATTGTTGCATTATAGCCGATTCCAATACCACCCCCCCTGCATTAGCCTCAAACCCTAAATTAAGAGGGCGTGTCTCGGTATGACTTGAGGCAGTAATCTCTCTGAGGGAGAGTCCCAGTATGACCGGAGGCTGGTAATGCTCTCTCTTTGGGGAGTGTCTCGGGTGACTGGGACCTATTGGAATGATAATAGTTATCTCCCCTGGGAGGACACAGTAACAAGTGTTCTGGGGCTATGTGGCCGGATGTGTGAAGGCATTGGATATGCTGGAACACAATGGGATATGTTAATGGAAAGAGGCCCTAAGGCACACAAATCACACACGGTTGCTAATTGATTGACAGCAGTTTTACTTCTTTAAAATTTCTCAATAAAAACCATGCGCTGACCCGATTCGGGGCTCAGTCTCAGTCTTCTCTGGCTGAGTCCCTTGGTCTCTGCTCAAATCTAACTTTTGTCTCTTTGACTCTATNAACGTGGGCCAGTGAAGTGGCGTCCTCCACAACTAGACTGAAGAACAAATAGGCAGCAACTTGTCTGTTCCCCTTCCCTAACTCCCCAACGCTGTTCCCCTCCAATTCCCCAATAAAATCTTTAAAAAAAAAAAATGAAGTTTTACTGGAACACAACTACACATACCCAATCATAAATTGGATTTTCCTACCTGGATGGAGAAGGGAAAGAAAAGGAAAATAGAAATTAGACTTTTATAGGAGTGGTATTTCAGGGAGCAGGAAAACCAGATAATGGGATGAACACAACAAGGACTATAAACCTTTGTAGAGGAATAAGACAAATTAGGAGATAATAAGCATTATTGGCTAGGCCCAGCATGGGAAGGGTTTGGTTTGAGGAAATAAATTACAAGATAGATCCGACATTATCTAGGCTCTACTGGTAGAATACTCAAGAGTCTACATCCAATTTGACATCCAATCATTTTATATTGTCCATAGTTACTTTTCTGCTGAAACAGAGCCTACTACTTCCATAAGAGATCTTATAACTATCAAAATTAAAAATATGTACTATATGACCCATTACAGAAAAAAATTTGTTAACTTCTGGACTAACCAATCCAATTAAAGGAAAGATTGACAGCATAAAAACAACAAGAAAAACACAATTTATAGAGAGGGATATGTGAAGATTGAAAGTAAAAGGATGGAAAAAGATATATACGTTGTCACTAACCAAAAGAAAGTTGATGTGGTTATATTAAGATTAACATGAAAAACATTTTGAAGGTAAGAATGATAAAATGAATAAAAATATGATAAAATGGTCCTTTTAACAGAAGA